ATCCACTTCTTGCTTTTTCATGGGGAAATTATTTGAACATTTTGAAAATTACTGTTGCACCATCTACCATTACTGATATTCCTTCAAAAAAACGACGATCTGAACGCGATATCCGTTTGGAATTCATTAAGATGGGCGAATGGAAAGGAATGAGTAGTATAGTCGGATTACAATGGCTTTCTTCTCAAGTACATCTTAAATGATACTAAATTTATCGAAAAATGTAATGATCTATTTCAATTGATGTAACTTAATGGTATTATATTGTTATCTAGATTTTATTGATATTGACAAGTACGGAAGACATCGTCGTTTTTGACCCTAGATGCATGCAGGAAAGTGAGCATAGTAATATCAGGCAACGTTCATTGGTATATCACGATAGGTTTTCTTCACTTTTAAAAGACCTTTCTGAGGATTCAACTAGCCAGATAGATTCTTTTAGGACATCTGCTACTATGGATCTAGCATATTATCATAGTTTGCAGGTTTATAAAGGAAAAGTGTTTCTATTGGTATGTATTTAATTTCTTTCCTGAATAATATTTTTATCAATTATTTATTTATTTTTTTTAATTATGTAATTTCAATCAGGGAGTGCACCAAATTTTTATTGGCACACTTTTATCATGGGAAGATAGAATATTTGCGCTTGTAGAATCTGGAGATTTTCTAGAAGGAATTTCTCTTGCTACATCTTTTTATAATGGCACCTCTTCTCAAACAATTCTTGGTCTTCCAGATGATGAGGAAAATCGGCATACAATTGTTGGGGAAAAGCTTATGGATCTATTAATAAAGTCCATAAATTATGCTTTTTCTAGCGAACGAACATTTCCAGGCATTGTAGATGAGCAAAATAGCAGTGGTAACGTCTTGTTCCATGATCTAGCCGTTGCTTGCATTGAGGCATGTCTTAGTATGCATAGGGAAGACTTCCTTTTCAGCGACGTATATGAGAAATACGCTGAAGCCGATACTAAAGGAGTATTTAAAGGAATATTACTTGAGGTTCTAGAACCATATATCCTTAAAGACAAAATAAAAGACCTTCCACCAGAAGTGATGAAAGATCTTGTCACTCATTATCGCAAACGACGCATGCTTAAACGAGTGGAAGAATGTATATGGCACATTAATCCACAATGCTTAGACATTGATCAAGTAGTTCAGCTTTGTCATAGCGAAAAACTCTACGACGCTTTAACTTACGTTTGGAATCGATCTATGGTTGATTATGTGAGCCCAGCGGTTGAACTTCTCGCAGTTATTAGAAAAATTTTAATTTTAGAAAAAAGAAAAAAGAAAAAGAATCGGTTTTCTATGTCAAATGGTCTTGACAATAGTCTAACTGATTCAAATATCCTCGATGGTGAGGATTTAGAGACCATGAAAATGAACGCTCGTAAATTTTATACGTATATGTCTAATATCTTAACTGGGCATACATACCCAAATGGTGCGCCACTTAACGAAGTTGAAGCCAATGAAGCTCGAACAACTTTATATTCCTTCATATTTTCTGGGCGATGTGTTGTATGGCCTAGACATGGTGGGAAATTAATATTAACTGCAGAAGATGAAGTAAATGGTCCTGAACCTACCTATCCATATCTTCGACTATTCTTACGATTTGACACAAAAGCTTTTTTACAAGCTTTAGAAGTTGCGTTTGAAGATTCTTATTTGAATGGTGTTGAGATAATTATGAACAGTGAAGATTATTATGAGGAGGAAATACCAGGAAAAATTATTAATCGACAATTATTAGTCAACATATTACTCGAGGTAATGACATCTGGATCTTCAGAAACCTCGGAATTCACACAAGCGGACATGTCATACCTATACAGCTTTGTGGCTCGCAATCTATCAAAATATCCACAATTCCTTCTGCTTTCACCGTATTCGATACAATACTTATTAGACAAACTCAGCAACGAAGATGACCCACGTACGAGGGAAGAGCGACAGCTTTCCGTTGAATGCCTGTTGTCTATTTATACTCCTCAAGATGAAAACAAAATGGTTCAATCATATGAAAAAGCTGGGTTTTGGAGAGTCTTGGAACATGTGTATAAAGCTGAGAAAAAATATGGATTATTGATCACAACTTATTTAAAAGATCCAGATCGAAAACATGAAGTATTTAATTGTATTCGAGGATTATTAAATCCTTGCAGTAAACTTAACAACAAACAAAAATTGGAAGTCTTAGAAATAATTATGACTCACATTGATGAAATTGTTGATATCGATGGTGAACAGACAGCTTCAATAATAAAATTGTATTTTGATGGTGATCATAAAACCGTAATTTTAAATCTGGAATTATCTCCAGCCCGCCTTTTCACATATTTAAGAGGACTTTTAGAACCATCGCAGGACGATGTCATAATTGGAGAACGTGCTAGAATACCAATGGTCGAAGAACAAGTCATTTCGACTGAATCGTTATCTGATCCATCAATAATTACGCCAGATATTCATGAACGATATATTTCTCTAATGTGTAAATTTGATCCCACTGGTGTATATCATTATTTACAAACACATCAAGGTTCCTATCGACTAGAAAAGGTTTTACCCATATGCGAATCCGCTGGTATTGTGGATGCAGTGGTATGGATTTTAGAAAAAAGTGGCAATGCCATGGGAGCTCTTGATAAAATTTTGGAGATTGTCCAAGATAAGAGACTGGACATTCTTGCATTGGTTGAAGAGAAAAAAAATTCAAAGAGCGACCGATGGACATTAATGGAAAAAACCAAAATTGAAACATCTTTAATGAAATTGAAAGGTGTACTCAAGATTGGAATTCTTTTATGTGAGAATAGTTGTCGCCGTGCAATATCGTCTAATGGTTCTGCACTTCTAGCTTTACCTCAAACTAGCAGTGCTACTGAGAGTGAAACTGAGTTATTATGGTTCAAGCTTTTGGATACATTTTTGGACGCCACTAAAGCCGTGTCTTCAAGTGTAATACCGCCTATTCCTACTTTGATGTCAGAAAAACTTTTAGCTAATGGACAACTATCTTCATTCGAAATGCCAAGGTCAGCCATACCACCTCACATTGCTAATCATCTGGTTACGACTTTTAAATCTTACGTTCAATCTATCATGAGATCTTTACTTCTGGCGACATCATCACCTTACGTTTCTTTCCCAAGACTGTTGCTTCGATTTATACAATCACAAGCCAAAAGAAATAGTACAGTCTCGGACTTTCGGGACATTTTTGTAGGGATGATTGATACATATAAATATGAAGGTCAGTTGCTGGCTATGACCAACCGACTATTTGAAAAGGACTTGTTCATGGGTGTTGCAGGTGTTGTACGACAGCGTGGTAAAGGCTGGCGTCCTCGTAGGGGGACGTGTGAAGTGTGTGGGGGCCAGTTCTGGGGCACGGATATGAACCCACTGACCCTCCGCACAGCACCTGGTAGAAGTTCATCCGAAAAAGAAACGACCCATTCATCAACTATATCCAACCCTGCCAATATTGCAGATGCCATAACATCCGAAGAAGAAATGCCTTCCGATATCGTACATGCCATAACGAACTCGAACATGGAA